TCTGATGAATGGTTAATATAATGTGCTTTTGTTATTTTAAAACTGAACGATATTTCTTACAACTTTTTGCGGTTGTTATTTCTTACGTACGCTTAAAACGTGTGATTATTACGCATCATTGCAACACTAATTTTATTTATTATTGGTTAAGTACAGTTGACAAGTATGATTGACACAATGCATCTTCTAAACGTAACATTGAATTTTTAGAAAAATAAAAATTCTATCTAATGAATTGGTCTCTCAGTTAATTACAACACTTCCGCTTACTTTTACTTTTGACATTTTTTTTAGTATAACTTTGCGATTATATTGTAAAATAGTTTTATAATAAAAATATCATTCATTACTTTTAGATTTTTGAATGATTTTCTCTTATTCTTCTTTAATATTTGAAAAAAATTTTTTAAAAATTAGCTAATTTTTCTAAAAAAAAAAAAAGCATTGTTTATTGTTTTATGTTTGAATATGAATTATTTGATCAATTGAATAATTTCAAATTGAAATTTGAGGATATTTTGTTTGAAATACATTAATAGAATGATTAGATTATTTTTTGAGCAATGATTAATTATGTTAATATATTCATAAAAGATAAATTTAATCATTTCTAGGTGTTTATTTTTGAAAATTAAAATAGTTAAATTTAAAAAATCGAAGACCAAAATGAATATTTATTGAAAAAATATTATTGTATTTTACAGCATTAAATTAACTTTTTCGTCATTTTTTTTTAATTCTTTTATATCAGATAGTCCAATAATTTCAATTTTTTTAATTTGTTATCATTTATAATCATCGAATTGTTTATTTGTTCGTTCCTTTTTCTGACCAATTCTCTTCTTTTCTAATAAATAAAAGAGTGCTAGGAGAATTATTTTTAGGTAATATAAGAATGACATTATTTTTCTTTTTTAAATTCAAAAAAAAAAAATTTTAAAAAAAAAAATTAATATGAAATTTAATTTAATATCCAAAAATTTAAAGCGAAGGTTAAAAAAAAACGAAAGTTAAAAAAGTTGAAAGTAAAACAGGCAATTGCAAATCTTTTCCTTTCTTGTTTTTTTTTTTAATTTTACATTTTCATTTTTGACTAAATAATATTTTTTTCAGTTTTTTAATTTTAACTTTTATTTTGACTAAATATTTATGTTTTTTTTTAGTTTAAAATATGCCTAATTAATGCTGAAATTTACAAATTTTACAAAATAAAAATTTACAAAAAGTTAGTTTAAAAAAAGTTAGAAAAAAATTTCTATGCCATTTTCTTTTTTTAAAAAATTTTTCCAAAATAACAAACTAAAATCCTCTTACAGTTCAAAAAAAAAAAAAGAAAAAATTCTAGAAAACTCATTCAAAATTCCTTGAACACTTTTCATACAAATATATTTTCTTAAAAGATTTGAATGATATGATAAAAATGATAATAATTAGCTTCAAAAGAGCTAATAGAATGATTGATATTAAATTTTTAGCTATTAGAAAATTCTTTTAAAAAAAAAAATAAAAGATAGATATACTGCACTTTTTATAAGTTTTTCAAAATTTTTTCATTTTTTTTTTTCTTTATGACTTTCAACTGATCTTTCCATTTTGAACACAACCAGTAATTGAAATTTTATCATTTATGACACTTACTTTTACTTTTACTTTACATCATTACTTTATTACTTTGATCGTTCATCAAAGTAATTTATTGACTATCTTTTGAGAAAGACAGAGAAAGAGAAAGGGAGGGAGAGGGAGAGAAAAGTATGGAACAGAGAGAGAAAATGTATTATTTGATTAAAAGAAAATCAAAATTCTAAAGCAAAAAACAAAATGTAATGAAAGATTAAAAGAATTTTAATACAAACTAATATAACTTTATTGAAGCTCTTATGGAGTGTTTGAATTTAAAAAATGGATGGAAGTCTTCTGTAGTAGATGAAACTTTTTGTAATTAAATAATTTTGAATTAGATTTCTTTTAATACTTTTCAAATAATTAATTATCTCATCGTTAATTACGAGCAGTTTAAGTTTAATAAACTTAGATGTGATTACGTACCGTTTTTGCAACACTAATTTGCTTATTATTGGTCACGTATAGTTGACATAATGCATCTTCTAAACGTAATATTGAATTTTTAGAAAGATAAAAATTCTATCTAATGAATTGGTCTCTCAGTTAATTACAACACTTTTGCTTACTTTTACTTTTGACATCTTTTTAACATAACCTTGCGGTTATATTGTAAAATATTAATGATAAATATCAGCTTCCCGCTTTACGTGTTTCACGTCACGTTTCAATTTTACCTCCTCCCATCACGTCACGTTTTACTTTTATTTCCCATCGTATTAGACAATTGCCCATCAAATGCTATTCATCTTCCTAGTCAATTAATTCATTGCGCAGTTAATTTAAAGAAACTTTTTGAATTTGTTCGATCATTTAATCACACCCAAATTCTTCAAGGCGGAAATTTCCTATTATTTCCATTAGCGCTTGTTTTCTCAGTAGTGTGCATCTATCTATCTATCTATCTATCTATCTATCTATCTATCTATCTATCTATCTATCTATCTATCTATCTATCTATCTATCTATCTATCTATCTATCTATCTATCTATCTATCTATCTATCTATCTATCTATCTATCTATCTATCTATCTATCTATCTATCTATCTATCTATCTATCTATCTATCTATCTATCTATCTATCTATCTATCTATCTATCTATCTATCTATCTATCTATCTATCTATCTATCTATCTATCTATCTATCTATCTATCTATCTATCTATCTATCTATCTATCTATCTATCTATCTATCTATCTATCTATCTATCTATCTATCTATCTATCTATCTATCTATCTATCTATCTATCTATCTATCTATCTATCTATCTATCTATCTATCTATCTATCTATCTATCTATCTATCTATCTATCTATCTATCTATCTATCTATCTATCTATCTATCTATCTATCTATCTATCTATCTATCTATCTATCTATCTATCTATCTATCTATCTATCTATCTATCTATCTATCTATCTATCTATCTATCTATCTATCTATCTATCTATCTATCTATCTATCTATCTATCTATCTATCTATCTATCTATCTATCTATCTATCTATCTATCTATCTATCTATCTATCTATCTATCTATCTATCTATCTATCTATCTATCTATCTATCTATCTATCTATCTATCTATCTATCTATCTATCTATCTATCTATCTATCTATCTATCTATCTATCTATCTATCTATCTATCTATCTATCTATCTATCTATCTATCTATCTATCTATCTATCTATCTATCTATCTATCTATCTATCTATCTATCTATCTATCTATCTATCTATCTATCTATCTATCTATCTATCTATCTATCTATCTATCTATCTATCTATCTATCTATCTATCTATCTATCTATCTATCTATCTATCTATCTATCTATCTATCTATCTATCTATCTATCTATCTATCTATCTATCTATCTATCTATCTATCTATCTATCTATCTATCTATCTATCTATCTATCTATCTATCTATCTATCTATCTATCTATCTATCTATCTATCTATCTATCTATCTATCTATCTATCTATCTATCTATCTATCTATCTATCTATCTATCTATCTATCTATCTATCTATCTATCTATCTATCTATCTATCTATCTATCTATCTATCTATCTATCTATCTATCTATCTATCTATCTATCTATCTATCTATCTATCTATCTATCTATCTATCTATCTATCTATCTATCTATCTATCTATCTATCTATCTATCTATCTATCTATCTATCTATCTATCTATCTATCTATCTATCTATCTATCTATCTATCTATCTATCTATCTATCTATCTATCTATCTATCTATCTATCTATCTATCTATCTATCTATCTATCTATCTATCTATCTATCTATCTATCTATCTATCTATCTATCTATCTATCTATCTATCTATCTATCTATCTATCTATCTATCTATCTATCTATCTATCTATCTATCTATCTATCTATCTATCTATCTATCTATCTATCTATCTATCTATCTATCTATCTATCTATCTATCTATCTATCTATCTATCTATCTATCTATCTATCTATCTATCTATCTATCTATCTATCTATCTATCTATCTATCTATCTATCTATCTATCTATCTATCTATCTATCTATCTATCTATCTATCTATCTATCTATCTATCTATCTATCTATCTATCTATCTATCTATCTATCTATCTATCTATCTATCTATCTATCTATCTATCTATCTATCTATCTATCTATCTATCTATCTATCTATCTATCTATCTATCTATCTATCTATCTATCTATCTATCTATCTATCTATCTATCTATCTATCTATCTATCTATCTATCTATCTATCTATCTATCTATCTATCTATCTATCTATCTATCTATCTATCTATCTATCTATCAATCTATCCACATTATGAGAAAGAATTGAAATTGAAATCTGTTCATTTAATTTCCTTATTCTTTCCTTACTGTGTTATCATTTTAATTATTAAATAAAAAAAAAGAAAAGAAAAATCTTTAAGCAAAAAAAAAGAAAAAAATAATAAATCGCTGAGAATTAATATTTAATAACAAATATTCGACTATTAGTAGTAATTATACTCAGTGCTATTTATAATATGAATTAATAAATTATTTTGATGATTATTTGCCAATATTTCTTTTTTCTTTTTAAGAAAGTAAAATCGAACTCTGTGAATTAATTTGCGTTGGTCAAAACAAAAGAGATGTTAGTATCACTTTGGCTAACTCATTTAGCAACTTTTATGTAATCAATAATATAAACATTAGAAAATCATCTTGTTAATAAACAAATCAGATAAAAAGTTAGCATTGTGTTCTTTTTTGAAGAACAGGTAAAATTACAATAGCTAATACAATGCTTATTATTATTACTTTATTGTTATTATTACTTTATTTGTATAACTTTCAGAAATGCTAATTGTTCAATTATTAATGCTAATTATTACATTAATCTTAATCATAAGATATGGAAGTAAAATTAGACAAAAGATAAAAGAAAAATGGCGCTTTATCAGATTAGTCAATCAATTGCCAGGACCTACTTTATTAGAAATGCTTGGAGAAGTATTACGATTTAAAATGGACAGCGAACGTAAATTTAAATTATAATTAATGCAACTTGTCATTTGCATATTGTAATAAAATAACAATTGATAATTAATAAACTAAATTTTTGTATATGAACACACTTTATTAATTAGTTTAGTTAGATTAACTTATTTATTACATCTGAATTATTAATATGAGAGACAAACATGCTAATCTAGCTTGACTATATAAACATTAATTAATCCAAATGTTAATAGTGAATAGAAAATTATAAAAATAAAAAAATTTTTTTGTTTCATTTAAATATTATTTAAATAAAACCATAGCTTATAAATAGTGATTATGAGAATTTGATGAAAAATTCTGATATAATAATACATTAATATGATTGCTAAATATATTATTTATTCAGAATTTACTTATCAAATGGAAGCTATCTTTCGAAAGTATGCTTATCAGAATGATTACGGAATAGTATGCTTTTGGTTTGGATTAAGACCAATGTTATTTTTGGCTAGATCGACAAGTGCTAAGGTTTTATTATTTTCTTCAATTTTTTAATTTGCAAAATTTCATCTATAAAATTTTTCAAAAAATACAGGAATTGATTGTTTAAATATGCAATAAAAGATAATAGTTATTATTTTTGGATTATTAGTTATAACATTTATATGATTTTTACTTTATTTAACTTTCTTTATTACTTATATTCGTTTCAATTCATTCATTGTAGGTAATATTTGAAAATACAAAATTGACCACTAAATCAGATGATTATGATATTTTTAAGCGATTAGTAGGTGATGGATTGTTATCTGCGTAAGTTTTTTTACAAATCGATCATAAAATTTTTAAAGATAATTTTCAAAACAGCAAAATCAACAAAAATAAAAAGAAAAAAGTAAAGAAATGAATAGATCATAAACCAAAATAACAAATTTAGCTTCAGATTAAAGATTAAAAGTATATGGATTGAAATGATAAACATTCATAACGCTAAGAAATAATAATTGAAATGATAATTTGAAATGTAAAACTTATCAAAATTTTATAGATCAGGTGAAACGTGGTTCAAAGCAAGACGAATGCTAACATCGGCATTTCATTTCAATATTTTACGAAAGCATGTGGAAATATTTAATGAACAAACAAAGATTTTTTTTTTTTCTTTTTTTGAAGTGATATTGATGATAAGATTAGTGATAAGGAAATGATAAGGTGATAAAACATAAATGAAGTGATATATGGATGATATTTGTTTTTTTTTAACCTAATAATATGAAAATATTTTACTGCACTAGAAGTTTTTTTTTTTTTTAAATGAAATTGAAATTTAAACGAAATGGAATTTAAATTTAATTTAAATAAATGATTTTAGAATTTGCTGGAAAAATTAGATAAGTATTGTGATACGAATGAAACTTTTGATTTGTTACCATATTTGAGACGTTATGGAATGGATGTTGTTGCTGGTTTGTTTTTTTTATAAACAAAAAAAAAAAAACTTTACTAAAAATATAATTTTAACATTTCGTATTATTTTAACATTAGACAAGAGAATAAATAAATGGTTCATTTGATTGTATATGCAAAAATATCTATTTCAATTTAATTTTTAATTAAATTAGCAAAATATTCTTATCATAATAATAATACTTTTAAGAAGCATTTTATCAATTTATCAATTTCATGCTAATATTTTAATATTTAAAATTTAATTTTCATCTTTTTTTTTTTTGTTATCTATTTTAGAAACAACAATGGGTATTAGTATTAATGCACAAAACTGTTGTAATAATGATCAGTACTATGAAGCATTGGAGATGGTTTTTAATTTAATGTGGGCAAGAATTCGATATCCATTGTATTGGTTTGCAGCTATTCGTTGGCTTTCTGGTTATGATCAAAAATTAGAATATTATTGTAATATATGCAAAAAATTAACAAGTCAAGTATGGCTAAATATTTTAATTAATATTGTTTTAAATTTAAAAATTTATTTTTTTTTTCAAATAGAACTAAAATGAAGTATTAATTTTATTACTCTAACTTTTTTGAATCTAATTTTTCATCTTTTTTTTTGCCGACTAAATTGCTAATTAATTAACTTTGACATATCATATAATATTATTTAAATTTAAAAGTTTAATTTTTCATTTTTTTTTCACTTTGAAATTCAAAAAATTTTTTCAAATAGAATCAAGAATGAAGCATTAATTTGATTACACTAACTTTTTTAAGTCTGATTTTTCTTCTTTCTTTTGACTAAATATGTTTTTGTTAAAGAAAAAGAAAAGAAAAATATTATTAAATGATTTTTGTACTATTATTAAATTAGTAAAATTGTTTTAATCGATAAGATTAAAACTTATAATTGTTAATTTATTCTTCTAACATTTTGAAAATGTGTGTTTTTAAGCAAATTTTTTGCTCCAAATAAGTGTTAAATTGAAAATTTTTGATAAACATTTGAATTTGCTCTATTTTAATATTTTTTATTTTTTTTTTTTTTTTTTTTGTAAGAAAAATTTAATACTTTTTTAGATAATAGCAGCAAAAAAAAAGGAATGGGAAGAATTTAATAATCAACCATCTATTGAGGAATTATCAGCTAGTGGTAAGAAGCAATTAACATTTATGGATCTACTCTTCAGTGTTCGTGATAAGTATAACTTAACTGATGAAGATATCCGTGGACAAGTAGATATGTTTATGGTTGCTGGTAACAAATTTTTGATTAATATTTTAATTTGAAATAAAAAATTTTCTAAAATTAATTAATAAAATTAATTGAAAGAAATGCTGTAATAATTGAATCAAAAATGATATATTTAATGTTATTTTATTCTTTTTTTTTTTGTTTTCTTATTGTTATTATCATTAATTATTGTATATAACATAAATATTCTGATTGATTATATATTAATCTATTATTTTCATTTATGATATAATTTAGTGTTTGAATTAAAATTTTAAATCTATTATTAGGAAGTGATTCAGTATCAGCACAAATTGGTTTTAATCTATTTGCATTAGGACATCGACAACATTATCAGGAAAAAGTTTATCAAGAAATCAAAAATGTTATTGGTGCATTATCATTATCATTCATCATTTTCTTTTTTGTTATTATTTATTTATTTTATTTTTATTATTATTAAAAATTTTTTTGGTTGAAATAATCATAGCGATGTTATCAGTGATCTTATCAATTATTTTTTGTTGATAAGATTGATATTTTATCTTTTTTCCATTGATAAGAATTTATCAAATGAATATTAACTGATAGGTGATAACGGACGTGACATTACAATGGATGATTTCAACGAACTCAAATATCTTTTCCAATGTATATGTGAGACAGGTCGTATCACACCAAATATCATTGTTATAGCCAGGAAAATTGATATCGAAATTGATCTCTGTATGATTTAAATCACTTAAATTGCTTAGCCAATAATTAATTTGCTTAATGTTACAGTAAAACATTAATTAATTTGCTTAATGTTACAGTAAAACATTATTTTCAGGTGGTTATACGATACCAGCAGGTATTACCTGCTGTATATCACCGTTTGCTATCATGCGAGACCCAAAGGTAAGTATTTGAATGAGACATATGCGGAATGAATGCGGATTCCGTACAATATTTTCATAGCTAAAATGACTACTGTCATAAATTATTCCGCAATGATACCGCAATGATTTCTTCATACAACGATGGCGTGATATGGGCACGTGTGAATACGTGATGTGTAGATGAGATGACGTGATATAGGCATGAGATTATTCAAAACTTCCGTGTATACCAAACAGTTGCTATTATTTGATAATAACTGTTTCATTACTTCAGCATTATGATAATCCAGAGGAATATGATCCCGAGCATTTTGCGCCGGATAAAGTGAGAAAACGTGATCCGTTCGCATTTGTACCATTTTCTGCAGGTGTTCGAAATTGTATAGGTAAAATATAATTTAATCAAATTAAATTGAAATTCATTTATTCTATACTTTTTTCATATCAAATATATTGAATATAAAATTTTTGACTAATAAAAGTAACTGTAGCTTTTATTATATTTGTTTTTTAAAACTATAATTTTTATCTTATATTTGAACAGATCGTTAATTTTTTTCTTAGTATCACATATTTTAAAGAAAGCAAAAAAAAAAAAAAAATTTTTTTTTGGATCTGTAAATTATTTGTTGATATATAATAAATTTTTTTTAATTCAGGTAGTAAATTTGCTAATTTGGAGTTGGTTGTAACTTTGGCTCATATTTTGCGACGTTATCGAGTTATTTCAATGTTGCCGGAAGTGCAAAATCGACCAATACCGGAATTTACACTAAAACCAAGTAAAGGTTTCCCGATTCGCTTAGAAAGACGATGATAATTATTTTTTTCCTTTTTTTTTTTTTGTTTTTTACATTTTTGTATTTAACTCATTTGAAATTATTGTAATTTTTTAAATTAATTGATAAAGCATATCTATAAATGATTACCTGTTGTGATGGTATTAATTAAAATAAGCATTGAATTCAATGGTTATTAGTTATCAAAAGATAAAAATAAAAAAAAACTTTTTCGAAAAGATTTATTGGCTTAATCAATTGAAGTAATAGTCGCTTTTTCGAGTAAACACTTGTAAGTTAGTATAACAAATGTTAGCTTTCTGACTTTTTCAATTACTTTCCTTTGTTGAATTACTTCATAGTATCCATTCATGTCATATTTTATTGCTATTTTTCTTGCTGTATTAATTAGATAATTAAATTCATTTTTTTTTAAATGTTAATTCGTTTGAGAAAGATATTTGAATTTAACTGATCAATGAACATTTAAATTTATCCAACCAATGAACATTTTGAATTTAACTGATCAATGAACATTTAAATTTATCCAACCAATGAACATTTTGAATTTAACTGATCAATGAACATTTAAATTTATCCGACCAATGAACATTTTGAATTTAACTGTTCAGTGAACATTTAAATTTATCCGACCAATGAACATTTTGAATTTAACTGATCAATGAACATTTAAATTTATCCAACCAATGAACATTTTGAATTTAACTGATCAATGAACATTTAAATTTATCCGACCAATGAACATTTTGAATTTAACTATTCAGTGAACATTTGAATTTATCATATTATTGCTACATTAAAGGAGAAAAATGCCGTTAAGTTGCAATTACTCACTCTTTTATAGAATCTTTCATTTAAATTAAAAAAATTTTTTTTTATTTTTAATTTTGAGGAAGCGAAGTAATAACTAAAAAAACTAATACACTAAAATACGTAGTAGCTATAAAACTAATACATCAAGTAAATACCAACTATAAGACTAATATGCTAAGTACATGCCAAACGTCAAGTACGTAACAATACGTCAAAATGTACAAATTATAAAACTAATACGTCATATTCTATAGAATAATTTGAATAAAAGCATTAATTTAATGTGATCTCATTAACGTGTAACAAATATCACATTGAAAAAATTATTCACTTTCATCTTTCTTTCATTCTTATATTTTATAAAAAATTTAATTCAAAAAAAAAAATTTTTTTTTCGTTTTTTAAATGCTAAACTATTTATGTTATTTTTGAGATAAAAATTCATTTATCGAAAAATACAAGAAAATATTACAAATGATATTTATGATACAAATAAAATGAAATAATTGCATTACATAATAAACTTTATATGATTTAAATATAAAATAAAATAATATGTTTATATACACATATTATATATACATATGAATTAATAATAAAAAAAAAAATGATTTAAAAATTAAAAAAAAATTATTGACAGCAATAAGCAAATATTTCTTGTTGAAAACAATTACTATTTTCTGGACAGAATTGATCATTGCAACTTTTTCCAAGTAATGTTATATTAAAACTATCATCAGTACTTGTAAATTTCACCAAATTTCCATTTCTACACGATGGATTGAAATTTTTTGCAAACATTTCTGCAATAAATTTTTTATTTTTCATTATTAATACTTAATATTATTCAAGAACAAAAATTTTCATACGAAAAAAAAAAAACTTAATAATATTTCTAATCTTTTCTTTTTTTTTTAAAAATTATAATAATATTATTTTAAAAAGAAAATTAAATTTATTATTTCACTTTAATTACCTTCAGTTTTTTTTGGACAACAAATTCCAAAGAATGCCAAATGTCTGCAAATGTATTTTTCAGGACATTGATCGGAACTTGGCCCAGAACAGATCACCGTACTACTCTCATTATCCTCATAAGCTTTTCCTTTCATTGCGCACCATCCATAATCTTCTGAAATTGTCAGTTGTTGTTGCTTCGATTTGCATAAAGTTGCACTGATAAGCCTAGCAAGCCAAATATCGCATCGTCCAATTAATCTAAAGAAATTACTTAAATATCAATAAAATGATCATCTTTTTTTTTATTGCTTATGTAAGTAATTTCTAATATATACATTATATCGTTTATTAATTATTTTAATTTAATTCAAAAAAATTTCTTTTTTTTTAAAAAAAAAATTTTACTAAAAAAAAAACACTTACGTGGAATACAATTTATTCTACACGTTTCAATATTTGAAAAACGATTTTCATTGCCACCACAACCTTCGTATAAAAATGGTAAGCACTGTTCTGTTTCATTATCAAAATAGAACTAAAAACTTTTTTTGTTTCTTTTCTTTTTTCGTTTTATTTTTATCTACATTTAATTACATAATAGTAATAGATATAATTTAAAAAATTGAAAAAATAAGTATTATAATTATTTAAAAAAATTTTTATTACAAACAAAAATATCATTGTTTACCATAATTTTTGATTCTGTATCATTTTCACAGCGATATCCACGATCTTTTATAGCCATACAATCATTTGGAAAGCTAAAAAAAAAAGAATTCCAGGAATAATAATTTATGATTCAAATATATATTATTACTATTATCATTATTATTATTACTATTACTATTATTATTATTATTATTATTATTATTATCATTAATTAAATCATCAGTTAGAGGGAATGATAATGTCTATATAATAAAAGCTAAGATTTATGATTAATAAGAAAGAATATTGTCGACTATTGATTTGTTTGATTTAAAAACTAATTTGAATTAATTTAAAATTATTCTTTCCAGTTATCGTAATTTTTCGATAATAAAACTAAAACTAACATTCGTTAATAATATCTCACTTTTAACATTATTCCAATCTAAAAATCATATTTATGCATCACAAAAAAAAGTTCTTACAATATATTTTAGGCAACATTCTTTTTTTTGTAAATAATAAGTAGAAAATTACAATTATACAAATTAATTACCAATTATTGCCAATTATCCAAATTAATATAAACAAAAAGCAAAATTTTATATGTTTACAATCCATAATTTTCAACATTTCTACCATTATGCTACAAATATACTTTACTTATTGATCCTGAAAGAAATTTTTGATAAAAACAACAAATATACTTTACTTATTGATCCTGAAAGAAATTTTTGATAAAAACAACAAATATACTTTACTTATTGATCCTGAAAGAAATTTTTGATAAAAACAACAAATATACTTTACTTATTGATCCTGCAAGAAATTTTTGATAAAAACAACAAATATACTTTACTTATTGATCCTGAAAGAAATTTTTGATAAAAAAAAATAGAAAATTTAATTGATGCAATTAGCAATGAAATAGAAAAGAAATCAGAAAAAAGAGAAAAAAAAAATGAATAATCTAACTGTAAGACACATTGTTTCATTTCATTTTTCAAACATTTTGAAAAGAAAAAAAATATCAAATTGTGATGAGAAAAGTTTGTTTGAGATGACTAATAGCATCAAATTAAAATGTTTAATTTGAAAAATGCAAAAAGAAAAAGAATTTCTGATGAATAATAATAATAACTAACAATTATTTCACATATTTATATAACATAATTTTAATATTTGTATTTAATCAATTCTAAATAATATTAAATCGTTAAGTGTTCATTAAATTTGATAAATTTGCCATCTTTTTTTTTTTTTTTAATACATAAATATATGAATTATTAGATAGAGAAAGCATAAATATGTTAATTAAAAAAATCACATAACTATTCAATTGTATATAAATACATAATTATTAATAAATATTAAAAAAACAAATTACATAAATATTAATAGATATTATTAAATAAGAAATAGATGAAAATAAAAAAAAAAAAACTTGACAACAATTCTTTGTTTATTGATTAAAATATAAAGAATTCATTTAGTACTAAGTATACTACTACTACTACTCAACTAATTCAATGAAAAAAAAAAAGAATACTAGCTTATAACTTGTAATAATTACACAACTGTTAAAAATGTTAAAATTTAGGATCAGGTAAACAAGAATGACAGTTTTTCTCCTAGATTATATAATCTAGTCTCTCTGTCCCTCTCTCTCTCTCTCTCTCTCTCCCTTCTCTTTCTCTGTTCTTTTGATCTAATATAAAGTAGAATTTGTCAATATTATTGAATAAATGAGAAAATAAAGAAATTACACATAACTATACAATAAAAAAAGTTAAAACTTTGCAAATGTAATAAAATGAAATAAAAATTTTAATAATTTAATAAATATGCAAAAATTTTTATTATAACTAATCAATATATTATGATTAATTATCATTCTATTTCTCAATTAAATTAGTTAAAATTTTCAATGATCAATTAAAATAGAAAGAAAAATGATATATATTATTTCTTTTTTCAAAAAAAAAAAGAAAAACATTTATTATAATGAAAATTGATGCAATGATGATAGATTGGTAATATTTTAGAAATTGTTTGAATTAATGGATGGTTAAAATATTTTGGTAGCAATAAAAATACTTACCTTTCAAACTGGCTTTTTCATTTTTAAAAAAAAATACACAATCATTTCACTTTTTTTTAACACACCCATCACAACATATATATCAAAAATTATTTTTACATCAATTCTAATGCAAAATTGTCACATTAACTTTTATCAAGTGAATAGTTGAATTCATTAACAATTTGATTGATTAGAAGAAAAAAAAAAATTAAAATTAATTAATTAATATTAATTTGATATCAAAATATGAATCATTCAAACATATGTCATCATGTGTCACATCTGTCACCATTATTCGCACATATTTTCAAGTATATGTTTTTAACTATGAAATATAGATAATGTCAAGATAGGATGAACATTTTATTTATGCTAGCTTAGCTTGCTATTAGCAAAATTTAATAGCTAATTAATTAATTAATTTATTGTGTAAAAATTTCATTATCACAAACGAAGATAAAATTTCAATATTTTTTCTTTTTTCTTTTGCATCAATAAATATAATTGATATTT